ATCAGTATACGCAGGAACCATCACCCAGAATGATGCCAGGGAAATGCCCTCCTGGACTTTGCTCCTCACTTCCTCACATACTTATCTCAACAGACAGCTAGCTCTCAGAGCACATCAACTTTCTGCTATCAAATAGATATGAGCCAGCCTCGCATCACCTTTCTTCCTTCCTTCTCTGACAACGAAATCTCTCCTTCCTCTTACCAATCTTTCTCCTTGTGCTTGAGACTCTATCCCCATTTGTTGATTACTCCTTCACAACATTAATCTCAAGCCTTTGCTTGGCTTATTCCCATCAGATAGATGTAAACACATTTAACTCTTTCCCATAAGAAAAGCAGGAAAGAAGAAATGCCAACAGCATCCTTTGTGGACATGCCAGCTAACCTTATTACTTTACAGCTCTACTACCTGTGTCCTACAGAACTATCACCAAACACAGTATACTAGGTGAGGGACCCCATGAGAAAGGGTGCACATGCGGAACTAAGGATTCTAAGAACATTTTTAAAGCAACCAGTGAGAGTTACTTGGGTGAGGTGGCAGGTAGGTCAAAACAGACGAGGATTGCAGAAAACACCCAAGGAAGGGTATCTGCCCACAAGAGAAAAATAAAGTAGCCCACAGAGGCTAATAAATAGGAAATTAATGCATACATTTATCCATGTTTCCTCACCAAATTACACTACTGTAACAGCAAAGAAATCAGAGATATATGGATATATATATGAAAACAAAAACAGAAATACGTATTTATGTGAAAACCCCAAGCTGAGATAGAACATTAATCATAGTCTATGACCACACCGCCTTATGTGTCACATGATTTCGTTAGATCACAGAAGCTGAGCACAGCTGGACCTGGTTAGCACTTAGATGGGAAAACTGACCATAAATGGTACCTGCTAAAGTTCTGATCAGGAATTTCTTCAAAGACCCATGTGCTAAACAAATGCTTGGTCCCCAGGTCAGTGACATCAGAAAGGGATGAGACCTTCAAAAGGCAGAAGGAGTCTACATGAGGTCTTAGGGTCCTTGGAGGTGCCCTTGAAAGTAATCGTGGGAGCCTGTCTCTTCTTCTTTCTCCTTGCTCCCTACCCATTGAGAAATGATTTTGCTTTACCATAAGCTACACCAGCACATGTCCAAAAGCAATGGGTCTAATGACCATGAATTAGAACCTATAAAATGAAGAGCCTAAGAAGACCATTTCTCAAGTTTCGTACCTCAGGTACTTGTCATAGTAATGGAATCTGATTGACACAGTATCCAATCAAGAAACTGATACATAAGCTTGAAGAGCAAGAGTATAAGAACTCATTCAGACAGCTACCTTTAGAAATGAAGTTGGGGGCCAGGACAAAACAAATCATCTGGTTTAAAGTTTAACAAAAATAACTGGTTCCCCAGTACCCTCTCTCACCAGAAGTCTACGTCTCCAACAAAGCAGAAAACTAGAGTTTTACTATGCACATAAAGACCAATGAGGTTCTAAATTTAGGAACAGTAATAACTGTTTTAAGGGCTAGGAAAAGTAATGAACTGAAAAAGAAGGAGGAGGAGAAAAAGCAAGAGGAACCTGGATACACAGAGTACTAGGATATCAGTTCCCATGTCATCAGGCAGAGATTTGAGAAATCCTCTCTGGGAAATAGACCCAAATGCTAAAAAATGAAGTACTTAAATGGCATCCTTGACCTCACTGAATGAATACCTCAGTCACGTAAAAAAAAAAAAAAATCAAATTCAGCTTAATATTAAAGAAACCTTTGTAATAAAAGGAATGGTGAGAGGAACCCAGAACTTGAAGGTTAAAAATTTTTTTAAAAACTTTAATAAAATTTAAAAGATATCCTGTTGCTGATATAATAGAAAAACCCTCAAAAATAAAAATTTATTAAATAAGGCAGAAAATAAGAAGAAAAAATAAAAAAGCAAACACTTGGTGACAGAGGAATTGAAATATAAAGTTGCCTACATTCATTAAACAAGCATTGCCTGGCTGCCTGACACGTTCCAGAGATCGCTTCTGACAGAAGGTATCCCAGAAAAATATTAGGCCCTGGAACACAAGTAAAGATAATGTATGAAAGGAGAAAGTGTCTTAAGCTGCTGATCAGGGTGGTGATTTAAACTCCTATACTTCTGAACATGGAGAAGGGGTACTAGGAACGATGCCAGGATAATGGGCACAAGTCAGAACTCTTCTGGGAAAACCCGGATTTGGCCACCTTAGTAATAAACCAAAGTAAAGTTTTATGATTGAGTTGCTTTCCTCAAAGGAGATGTAGTGGCCACCATGACAAGAGTAAGCACGGTGGAAAAGAAGGGGCAAAGCCTCCTGATGGAGCAGAGGACCTGGAGGAACATGCAGTAGAGACACATTTGGGGAACAGCTTTCCTACAGAGTACAGAGTTCAGACACGGAACACCAGCTGATAGAAGTGGGGTTAAGAACTTGGATACTTTCTTACTAGATGGGATGGGGGAAATGGCACATTCTAATTCTGACAGGAATACTCCAGGAAAAAAAAAAAAAAAAAGCCAAATATCTATCTCCTACTAGCCTGTTGGTAACAGCACAGACGAACGTATCAATTCATAATTCTTCTTTTGCTTTTACAAAATAGAGAGCTGAAGATGAAGAAAGCTGAGGCTTCCAGAAAGTCTCCTGAATAGCACAATCTCTATACTAAAAAATATGAACACTGCTGAGATAAATTAAAAATGGTAAGTAGTGGGAAAAAATGTGATGTGTTTGTATATTCAAAGCCAATACTGGTAAGGTATCTAATTTGCTAAAACTGATATATGTTAATGAAATTTTATTTAAGACTCAGACAAAACTATTTTTTTTGTTACAATTTTACAAACTGACTCTAAAGTTTCTATAGAAATGTGAGCAAGGGCTAGCAAGATGGCTCAGTGGGTAAAAGCACTTGCTGCCATACCCAAGGACCTGAGTTGTATCCCCAGGACCCATCTGATCTAACTGACTCTCTCATGCTGTTTTCTGACCTACACACACCACACTGTGGGTGAACACATAAATTTTTAAATGAAACAAAAAATTTAAAAAATAATGTAAGCAAACAGAAATAGTAAGAATGAGAGAATTTCAAATAATGTTGAGCAATAGACTCATAGAGCTGACACAGGCTAATGAAGAAAGAAAATGTTTTTAGCAAATGATGTTGGAGGACTGCATCTCCATAGTGAGGAAAACTAAAAATCTACCCACCAATCTCGGTCTACATAAAAGGTAGAGATCTATCAGTAAAGCAAACTTTAAAGCTTCCGGAAGACACAAAAGACTATTTCCATGACATGAGAGAAGATAGAACAGTAAATATAAAACAACAAAGCCAAAATGACTACTACTTCATACAAACAAAAAACTTCTATACTGGGAGTATAACTTAGTGGTAGACAGACATAAATTAGGTCTGATATATTGCTAATGTACATATAATATAGTTTATCCACTTTAGGAGCACACAAAGCCTTCTCATTGTTCAATTAACAGACAACAGAACATAGCAGGCTCTCTAGTTCTAGCCAGTCAATTCTCCAACGTTATTAACTAGAATACAGGAAAATTTTAGTATAAGAAAATGTTTCAAAAAAAATGTACTTGATTTTTCTGATATATCTTAAAAATTACAAAGCAGAAGTTACCTCATGTCCACTTAGTCTTATTTTTTTATCTAAGACTGAGATATTAGCACATTTCTGATGATAAGATATCTTTCCCAATAAATACAGTTTGGGTAAAATATCAGAGATCATTTTATGGTATAAACTAGAAAAACAGTGCTATATAAATAATGATTCTTTTCTTTAAAAAAAAAAACTGAACTAAATGGAGACCATTACAGGGTTACTGATCTTGGTTCATGAACATCAAAGTATGACAATAAATGAATAGAACAATCCAAAGGGTCTAGATAATTTTAAGTACCACAGTTAATTTTAAAAATATTTTTTCAGTGAAAACCAATTTTAAAAGGCTTAAATGATCACTATCCAAAAAAAACATAATCTAAACTATAAACAAAGGCTGCATTTACATGTTAAACAAAAGCAAAATTAAGTCATATTTTTGGTATTGTAAATGGCCGCATGGAGGAGAAAAGAAGAGCACAAAGTCCCGCCCCTAGGGGAGGAGTTATTGGCATTAGACAATTGCCAGGGAGAGAAGGGGTCAGTTTTCTTTAAGAGTCTGGTTCCTGGTAAGTGGACCAAACTCCAGGGCAGGCTCTGCACCCAAGAGTATTTGGGCGACTCAAATTTAACACATCGGTTTGAGGAGATAAGGTAGAGAACTCGAATTTGGATTAGTAGGGTGGAGAAAGCACATCTGGGAGAAGCTGGCAGAAGGGAAAAGGATATGATCAAAATTGTATGGAACTCTCAAAGACTAAAAACATTACTTAAAATGTTAACAGTATATGCAAAACAAGCACGTATATTCTGTGCAGCAGCCAGAACACAGAAAGTATTGTCATTTTAATATGCAGTTGGTGTAAAACATTTTAGATTTTTATGTTCTTATTTTTACCAAGTCATCAAAATCCAGTGAACATTCTATATTTATAACACATTACAATTTTACACACAGAACATTATACATTTCAAGTGCTCAATAGAATAACTAGTGGCTAGCTGATTTCAACACTCATTAAGTAAAAGATGTTTTAGACATTTTATATGGATTATCTCATTGAACAATAGCTGAGACAAACAGGAGAAAAGTGGTCCAATTTCTTAGAGTGAGTGATAGTCAGAGGATTCTAATTCAATCATCACCATGCTATCCCACACCTAACCAAAATTCTTTTTCTCTACTACTGAAACTTTCAAATGAACAGTGAACAAACAAACGTCTGAATTCCTGTTGGTATAAATGTTTTGAAGCTTAAATTTCTGGTCACATTAAAAAAACACAACAAACTGTTTTCCCCCCGGCCATGATTTCAAATCTGAAAGGAAAGACTTACCAGTAATATGAGTTTCTGATACTTTTGTTTTAGGTCTGACACATTTGCAGATGGGTCTGCACCCAGAATGTTGTACCAATCCTTTTTGAGTGTCTGCTCAAAAGCCATCAGCGTCCCTTGAACTAGAAGTGGGCCTTCTCTGAGAAGCTGCAGCAGAAATGTTGAGGGCAATTCATTACGGTGAGAAAAAATAAATATTCCTTCCTAAATTCTTTATTACTTGAATAAAATGTGGCCACAATGCAAGCCCAAGAAAATCTATATTTCTATTTTAAATGTCCCATAAAGGCCATGTAAAAGGATACAAGGATATAAGGATTCAGAAAACCTATTAGATATTTCATGGTTACACGCGTATCTCTTAAATAAACCCACAATATCATAAAAAGAGAATTTGATAATGAGCCTGGGTGATGAATGAACTTCTAAGAAATTATTTCTTAAAATCTAATGGTAAAACTGGCATACAGGTGCTCACTAAACACACTGGGGTCAAGCACTTATGAAACGAACGGATGAAAGAAATAGAATGCCAAAGAAATTGAAGTTGAGGGCATACACAGCCCCCGAATTTCCCTGATTCGCCCCTTTTTCTCTGGAGTAAATGTAAAAACGTACAAAATGACAGCACGGGCTTGGGGCGAGTCCCTTGAGTCTCTTGCTAGGGCAAAGATGCTCCCAGCCTGCAAAGCTCCCAAGCTGACCTCGCTCCCAAAGCTGTTTACTCCACGATGCCACCGTCCTCCCAGCTTGAGAAACCAGCTCACAATGAGGAAACCGGGTCTCGCCGACTTGGAGGTGGAGGACCTGTGGCGTCCACTGTTGGCACTACCTAGCCTGGCCCTGCGGACGCCCCCCCCCACCCCCGGCTCCACACAGCGTCACACTTACCAAGCTTCACACGGGAGCCGGAGCACACTCGCTGCCGCAGCCGGCCAAAGCCCGGAACCCACTTTTTTTCTGCCGGAAGTCGGAGTACTGCGGGAGTGCGTTTCCAGTCGAGCCCTAGTTCCGAATGCACATATCCGAAGGGGCCCCGCCTCCTGCCCAGACGCGGTCGCTATGGTAACCCGTCCGGGTTTCCGAGCTTTCTGTCCCGACTGAGAGGAGCTGTGGAGAAATGAGTTTCCTCGTCTTGCTCTCATTCTCCCTGGCCCCGGCTCCGCCATTGTCGTACCCTCCACCTCTTCTACGGTGCACCTTCATCCCAGTTTCTTTTTACCTTACCTTGAGCAACTTTCTTCCTGGTTTATACTGGGGACGGGGAGTTAGTGATAAAGATGAGGAGATCTATCAAATTATGCCTAATAATCATTCCCATTAGAACTCAGAAACTGACTTAAACTATTTTTAAAGTTTTCAAATCTTTTCACATTTACTACTTATCTCTTTATCACTTTCACTTCAGCCCAGTGAGACAACTTTGGAAGGTGTTGCTGTAACTACTTTGTAGATGAGGAAACAAATCAAGGATCAAGGCCAAATCTATAATTATAATTATGCAGGCGTAGAACCAGCACTCTTACCAGAATGAACTGTCCTTTGTGAATCATTTAGGTTATTCCACACTTTTGAGTGTGGTGTTAGCTTTTTCTACCATCTCGATTTTATTAACTTTCTAGCTTTTATTAACTCTTCTCTGTGTTTCTTACTTTGCCTTCGTCTCATGTCTGCAATGTATCTAGAAATGAGAAGCATCTTAAGTTTTGAGAAACATGATATCTCCCTTGGAGATACAAAGTAGTTTTGGTGGTGCAAATTGCTTAGTTTTTCTTCTTCCAAGTATCAGTTCAAGAAGCACAAAAGATGAAATGAAGTGGAAATAAATTCTTTAATTTTATGAGCATTGCAGAAAACATGATGAATTGCAGAATGATAGAGTTGACTTTAAAATCTAAATATGAATGCACAGACTAGGTTCTCCAATTGATTTTGTCGTGTTTAAAGCAAAAATCATTATACTATCAGTTAGAGGATCTAGTTTTCTAGACTTAGAAAGCTCTCTGTATGGGCCTACCAAAATAAAGCAACAGAAGTAAGTATTATGGTTCTCTCTACATACAATATTATAAGAAAGCCCCCATTAAACTAGCCCATCCTACTTGACCCTTCTTTGCATACATAGGTATGGTTAAGAAGTCCAGTCTTTAGAACAAAAATGTTGATATACTGTCCCATTAGGTTAATGTGTTATTTCTTTCATTACAGCTACTCATTTTCGTTTTCTCTCCAAGTGCTTTAGTCTGCTTCACTAAAGCAGATCAAATTTTGTTCTATCTCCAAGGTGTCCTTAATCAAGCAAAACTGTCAATATTTAATTGCTTCATCCACTATATACACTCTTTTTAAGTATCCCTGGTTGTTTCAAAGATGTTTTTAGGGGTAGTTTGCTTTGATATGTATCCAAACACTTGAAACTTTGAATCTGGCTGTTCTGTCCCTGCAGATACATTTAATCAGAGACATTTCTTCACTAAACAACTTGGTTTTGTTGCTGTTTTTAGTTAGTTGAAAGAAAAGCAGAAGGTTTGTCTAATAATCCAAATCATTAATATTTGAATAAACTCCTAAAGGTAACTGTTACATGGATCATTCATTATTGATCTCTATTTGTCTAGAACATTATTCAATATAACTATGATAAACTAAACCACAATTGAAAGCTACAAGTGTGACTCTTAAAATATTCTATTTAATACACTATATCCAGAATATTTTCACTATAAAATGTAACCATTTAAAGAACATATAAATATATATCACATTTAGCAAAGTGGGCCTAGTGAATAAAGTCCTAATTCTTTTTCAATTACATTAATTTTTATTGCGTATGCATTTGTATGTATGTGGGTATGCCACAGTATGTGTTAGAGATCAGAGTACAATTTGTGGAAGTCAGCTTGCTCCTTCCTTATACTTTGTGAGACTAAGGACCAAACTCAACTTGTCAGAATTGCCAGCATTATTTTTAAATTCTGAGTCATCTCTCCACCCCTAGAGTTCTAACTTTTTATTCTGGCATTAATTTAACTTCTATAGTAGCTGAATCTTTAGAAAGCAGTCTTTTTCAACTTTCATAGAAAGTCCTGTAAAATACTCATTTTTACTCTTTGGATTCTATGATGCATTATGGTCTCTAGAGGTGTGTTCTGTCACTGTTGGGATACCAAGGAATGGGAAGATAAAGACAGGAAATCTGGGGTCAGGAGGTCTTACACAAGCTATACCAAGCAAGCTTGTTAAGAAGTAAAACATCAGGCCAGGTGTGGTAGCACTCCCCTTTAATCGCAGCACTCCGTGAGTTCGGGGCCAGCCTGGTCTGCAAAGCAAGTCCAGGACATCCAGTGCTCTATTACATAGAAAAGTACAAAAAAAACAAACAAACAAGTACAGCATCTTACATATGGTTTTCAGGGAAATGGGACAGTAAGCAGAAAGCTTACTTTGATATAATAGGATGAAGTCAGCAAGAAGCTAATCAAATAATGTTGCGCAAAAGGGAACAAGGGCTATCTGAAGTGTATCATACAGTCCTTAGGACTGATAACCACAGTCTGATACACCTTTGTGGGGTAGGGATAGTTGATTTCTCAGGAAATCCTCATCCCCCCACACACACGAGACCCTGGCCCCAGGACATTACTAGCTCTGCCAAGTGTATCTGGTTTTAAACAAGGAACTGTGATCCTTCTCCACATATCAGGGCCTCAAGGAAAAACTCCCAAGACCCTGGCCCCAGGCCATTACTGGCTCTGCCAAGCATGTTCCTGCTTTTAGTTCCTTGTCAGGGCCTGGGGAAAGCCTTGGGTTAGCTTGGTTCCCAACAAGTTTCTACAATAGGTTTGTTTGTTACTGCTTTATTTTCAAAAGCAAATTTATCCATCATATTTCCAAAACCCTGTGTTGTAACAGAAGCCAAAAATTACATCATTACTTGATTTATCACATTAATAACTATGTGCCGATAAATAAATGTCCATTAAACATTTATAAGATTCATAATTTGATATGCTACTAGAAAACTGTGCTTCTTACCATACAGACAGATGTGTTAGCTTCTGCTACTTCAATGAAAAACTGAGATGATTGATGCATAAAGCAAGAAGATTTGTTTTGGCTCAGCTTTGTGCATCTCAGGTCAATGTCATATAGACTATTGCTCTGGGTTTCTTGTAGGAGTGGGTGACAGGTGACAGTGGGGGAGAGTGTATAGCAGAACTAGCTTCTTCCTTTGTGATCAGGAAACAAAATGGAATAGCCTAAGGATCTCCCAGTAGGCTCCACTTCCCAAAGGTCCCACCTAATAACACTACTCTTGAGACTGCTTCCCATTCAAACCTCAGCAACAATGTACTTGTGCTAATTATTCATTTCTTGACATTGTGTTTATTTACCCTCTTTAGGTATTTCATTACAAACTCTAATTTCCCTTGTATTTATTTATGGTTTTTTTTTTTTTTAGGCTTTTGCTATCACTGAGCGAAGCTGGATTTATTCATAATTACCACAGATGTTACTAGTATTGCGGTTACATTCTCAAGATAGACAATTGCATCTGAAGCAACCTGAAACCTCACTGGGAAGATAGGCAAACCACCAAAACTTAGATTTTAAAAGTAATAATTTGGCACATGAACAACTTTCATTTACTCATTCACTCCGTCTTCAAACAATTTCTGTTTGCTCTGTGCCTCATACGGAGTGACCCTAGAGAATGTTGTTTGCATCTTACTCATCTCGGAAGACAAGTATAAGAAAAAGCATCTGAGATGACTACGCACACCCTATGATTGTATACCAAACACTGACATTAGTAACTAAAAATTTTAAGTCAAGATGAAGCTAAACCGTGAAGATATGTGGCTGACAGCTTACAGACCGGGAAAGGATCTTCACCAACCCTGTATCTGACAGAGGGCTAATATCCAGAATATATAAAGAACTCAAGAACTTATACAGCAACAAATCAAGTAATCCAATTTTTAAAAATGGGGTACAGAACTAAACAGAGAATTCTCTATAGAGGAATAGCAAATGGCAGAGAAACACTTAAATGCTCAATGTCCTTAGTCATCAGGGAAATGCAAATCAAAACGACCCAGAGATCTCACCTTACACCAATCATTATGGCTAAGATCAAAAACTTAAGTGACATCCTGGAGAGGATGTGGAGAAAGGGGAACCCTCCTCTGTTGCTGGTGGAAATGTGAACTTGTACAACCACTTTGGAAATAAATCTGGCACTTTGTCAGACAATTAGGAATAGTGCTTCCTCAAGATCCAGCTATAGCACTCCAAGGCATATATCCAAAAGATGCTCAAATACACAACAAGGACATTTGCTCAACCATATCTCTAGCAGCTTTGTTTGTAATAGCCAGAATCTGGAAACAACCTAGATGTCCCTCAGTGGAGGAATGGATACAGAAATTGTGGTACATTTACACAATGGAATACTACTCAGCAATTTAAAACAAGGAAATCATGAACTTTGCAGGCAAATGGTGGGATCTAGAAAAGATCATCCTGAGTGAAGTATCCCAGAAGAAAGACACACATGGTATATGCTCACTTATACATGGATATTAGACTTATAATATAGGATAAACATACTAAAATTTGTACACCTAAAGAAGCTAAGCAAGAAGGAGGGCCCTGGGTAAGATGTCAATGCTCATTCAGAAAGGCATATAGGATGGACATTGGAAGAGGGAGCAAACAGGGAACAGGACAGGAGCCTACCACAGAGAGCCTCTGAAAGACTCTACCCAGCAGGGTATCAAAACATAAGTGAGACTCATAGCCAAAATTTAAGCAGAGTGCAGGGAATCTTATGAAAGAAGGGGGAGATAGA